CGCCGAGTCCACCGCAGCGCGACTGAGTGATCGTGCACACCTTCTACTTCCCTGTTTATCATCAACTGTAAGTCTTGAATCAATTGTAATCCTTCCTTCACCTCAGTGTTACCTATCTCTCCCATCAAAATTGAGCGGTTTTATCTTGGATTGCTGTAACAATCCTGTATTTTAGTACCCTAATAAATAGTCCTAAATTAATCAATAGAAAGTTTTCCTCTCTATCTCTGCGCGATTCTCTCACTAATCAGAATTCCTGCGTAACCTAGCATGGTACACTTCAGTGTTTTATCCCACACAATACGAGCCCATTTAACTTTGGCCTCCGTTTAGACGTAACTGGTCGCGGTCAATTCAGTTTTGGGGGTCACCCTCTTGAGAAAATAACCGATCGTCCAGCCGCCCGTAGGCCGCAACAAGATTGTCGCAGTTCACACGTGCCACGTAGTTCATTACCAGTTGTATCCGAACGATGCAGCGTCAATGCTTTTGGAACAGTGTATAAATATTGCCGATATTCAGGACATGAGGCCACTGATTGTTGAAAACTGGAAAAACGATTGGAAATCGCTAGTCACCAAAAATTCCACCAGCATTGATTAAAACAGATAATTCATATATTAAGCAAAATAATTTGAATGAAAATTTGAAAAAGAAAACTGAAAAAAGGAAGAAAAAGGAAGCCTTAGCTTCCTTAGCTTCTGAAATCATGAAAGTCAAACCTTCGAAAAAAAAGGGAAAGCTTCAAAATTCAGTAAAGGACGTACGATACCACCAGCACCACCTGCAGAAATTAAATCATTTTGCTAACAGGAGAAAAATTGAAAGAGCCTACGTTATTTCCAGCAAATTCAGGGGCAAAGACATGACTCATAAAAAAAGATTAAAGAAATTCAGCTGTCAGCTTCAAAATCGACTGAAGCAAAATTTTGTCTAAATCAACGTATCTCACCAGGAGAACTACCGAGGGGCCTCGAGTATCTCAGATCAATGGAGAACTGACACGTAAAAACTCAAGTTCAAAAACCTTGCGTGTTATCACACCATTTAAATTTGCAATTATTCTCCAGCTGCTCATGCTAGAAAGCATGGTGATTATAGTACGGGGGGAGAGACATATAATTGAAAAGTTTGTCCAGACCCTAGAATTTATTTTGAACCAATTGGGAAATTACATCCGAGTAACCAAGCTTGGTCCATGGCTGCAACTACGGACTTCTCGTCATGGCAAGCAAGAGCTAATCAACTTCAAGAACATTGAAACTGCGTAAAACTTTTTTGCTTCCGAGCCGGCTCATGGGGCCATAGCTTTGATCTCATCGTGGAGGGATGGATCACCAGTTTTACGAAAATAACAGATGCCACTCACAACTCATTTACGGTCTAGGTTCCGTAGCCAAGTTACTACTTGGGACTATGGATGCTTAAGATGCCAAGGAAATTAACAAAAGAGTTTCACACCTAGAGAGCGGAGCAAAAGGGACATTGGCCAGTTCCAGGAAGCAACTACAGATTGTCAAATCTAAACTTTTCCAATTAGTTCGCACGCACGAAATAACAATATATTATTCAGGTCACTTAAGGAGATACAGTGCGAAGATGAACAAATAGCACATAAGCAAATTGTATATGAGCACTTCATGATTATACAATCCATCGATAACGAAGTAATCAGTGATGCTGCAAAAATAACTTTTAACTGGTTCTAAGAAAATGCTGTTGGACACAGAAACATTCACGAAGCAAGAATTAGTTATCCTATTTAAAAACGTGGATAACTCTTTAATAGTAGCATGCATATGGATTTCGATATCATGGATTAATACATATCGAAACGTATCCAAATCTATATGCATGCTACTATTAAAGAGTTATCCATTTCAATCACCGGAACCAAAATCAGACATTCTGATATATAGCATTGACAAAATCTATCATTTCATGTATAGCATTCGAGTGACTTTTAAATTTTCTTACGGCTATATCGAACTCTGATAATTTTTATTAAAAAAAATTCTTTCTCCACCATGCATTACGAATTACTCTAAACAACGAAAAATATTTGTTGAAACGTTGCGTAAGTTGCAATGATTGCGATTGGTTGGTTTGTTGAAATGTTGCGTGGATTGCGTTGCTAAAAATTGGCTGGGGCCCTAAACACATCTTTAAGAATTGGATCAGCTGCTGACCGTTCCCGGAGTTTTAATACAAATAATAAATAATGATACACTTCGTGCGTTAAATTTGCATATGTTTGATCGTTGGTCATTATAATCGACCAGCCACATGAACGCGTGTAATGACCAGAATATTAACTAAACGTCGATAAATCATTACAGTTGATATCTTTATATCTTTAATATCATTTCTCGACAAATATATCTGAAATGTCACTTTTTCACATGGACACATAAAGCCTAAAATTTTTCCAAAAATATGAGACTTAGCTAAGACCGTCGAATCAGGTTTGAAAATATTCAGTTCATTCATTAGTGAAAAGTAAAATAGAGGAAATCTTACCCAAACTAGGCTGACCAGATGGTGTGGAAGGCGTTGTGGCCGCCGAGGAAGATGTCGTGGAACGTAAACCACGACCAGCGAGTAAATGGACCCAAAGTAAACCGCTGATACCACTTGAGAAATCACTACCAGCAGTTTCACCGAGAGAACTCAATATTGAACTTGTTGAGCTAGGTGTCCCAACAGTCGGTGGTTTCTCTATCTTATACTTGAGGAACTCTGTAAAATTAATCATCAAACATAAGTCTAAGGCATCGAATTTATAATCTGTCAATTTTTTACCAAGGCATGAAACTAACCATATAACATGCACAATTTGTATTGTCTATAAGCGGTTGTCTTTTGTAGGTATGCATCTGTTCTTGCATATATTGGAAAACGACGGCCTCAATTTTCAGGCTTGCTACACTCTCATTTTTGAGATATTCATCATCAAAATTGCGAAAAAGGTTCCATCCCATAAATATAATTTTAGTTGTTACTTAGGGGGTTAATAATCTCTTATAAATTTCTCTCTATTTAATTTTGTATTTGTAGTGTGAAAGTAGAGTGAAACTTGAAGTCAACAGATTTTTGTTCATTTCAGAAAAAAATGTAGCAAAAATATAGTCTGCATGAGTTGGTTCGTGGATAAACCTTAGCTTCATAATAAGTCACCCTTAGCTCGACGATGAGCTTGACTTTAATGTAAAGGGGGATTAATCTCGAATTGAGGTTGGACTCAGCTAGAGGTTGACACTGGGTTCACCTTCATGTCACGGTAACGTATCATGATTATCATTGGCCATCATTGTGCCAAGGCTAGTCGGACAGTGATATATTTAGGGACCACGTAATGAAATTAAATACCGAAGAACAAACGAATGAAGAATTTATACTCAAATGAAACCTCGATCGAGATAATATTCATTAAATGCGTAGGAGCATAGTGAAAAACAGTTGTAACGGAGGACCCTGTGTTAAATAAGAGCGCCAATCCTCTGGACTTTTAAAGGATCAGCTCACACGTGTCTGTAAATTCATTTGATGACTAACGCAGATAGAAACCACGAAGACGTGTGCAAGCGAGTACTAATGTACAGAGGACACTATATCATAAAAAATAGAAAAAATATATTGTTGCGTATTTGTTCCTTTCTCCTTTTAAGCTAAGTTCAAACACGATCGCCTCTTCTTATTATTCTACCTTTGATCTTTTCTTGAGTCATTGACAGGTCACTTCACTTCGATCAATTCTTTTAATTCGTTTACGTCCACTTCTAATAAATCTACTTAATTACTATCCGAATCTGATTTTCCAATGGTATCAGGAGTGGTCACGAGTGAATTTTACATTCTATTGCGATGGAAATGGATACTTCCAACGTCGGAGATTTCAACTCCAAAACCACTCGCAGGATGAGGAATCAGACATTCCTAGATGTCCTTGATACCGCTGGCATACAGCTGGGGATCCAAGAGGAGATCCGACTTGCCATCGCAGGTATGGAAATTGAGTTGGCGATTTTTTTCCAACAACAACAGGAGAACCTTGAGACGGAGAATCGATCGGAAACGAGAGACTTCGTCAATGATTCAGTTGTCGAATCAAATAATCTGAAAATCCTCGATTATTGAACTAAGAACTCGGGCATGATGACAAATATGATGATGATTCTCCAGAATTACATTCAAGCCGCCATCAACCAAGTAAGTGAGAACTCAATGAGGAGGGAATTCCAGAACATGCAGAATGAAATCATGGATATTCTTATAGATAAGTCGATCTTTCCTCGTCTTAACCCACAAGACTCCAACAAATTCGAATCGTATTCATAAATCATCTCATGGTACCAAGAGTAACCAAGATTTGTGAATGTGAACCGACTTGCTCCCTTTCATGAGTAAATACTGTAAACAAGTATTTGCATCCTCATAATTAGCCTGATTCCAGTTGATGGCCATAACTATTTTCAAAAGATTCATTTCTTTCAGTTATCATTATTCGGGAAGACAAAGATTCTAAATGACAATATATAACCGCAGAAAACTTGTCAAGAATTAATACCTGATGCAAATGCTTAAGTCAATCGTTACCTCTTCTTAAGTCATTCCACCCCTGAAGAACATTGAAAATCTCTCGTTACCACCATGCCCTTCCCAGTTCGACTCTTTAACATTTCGCCTACACCATTGCCTGTTTCTCGGAGGTCGCTTGAGACCTCTTCGTGGAAAACTACGATGGAAGCTGGCGATGGATAGATCAACAATCATCTCCTCGTCAAGATCGATCAATAACACTACGATGGAAGCTCATGCTGGAAGGCTGCTCTAGACAGGATCCTGAATATTTTTGTAAAAAAAGGTCATTCACGCAATGGCAATATTTTTCTAGGACAAAAAGAAACAATGCCTGAAGATCAATACCCTTCCAGTCATCTGGAAGCAGCATAGATTAGTCCCACTTCCAATGAAAAAAGAAGCCAGCAGACGAGCCTTTATCCTACCATCCCCACTACATACTAGATGCGTTGGGTAAGTACCTCTAGCCCATCAACCATGAAGGTATAGGAGCAGTAGTTTAGCCGCTGTGATATGTGGGCAAGAAGGAGGCACCGTTAACTTTGCTGAGGACAACAGTGGGGTAGTGGTAGCAACTTCGAATTCCTCAAGTGGAAAACAACCACAATATCAACGCCTAGCCGACGCCTGATTGACGCCGTGCCGAAAGCGAGGATGGCAAGCATGTGGGGAAGATTGATCTGTTTTCCACGGCGTGGCTTTAACAAAATTTTTGTTATCATCAGGCGCAGGAGCTGGGAAAATATATTGTTACTGAATTTTATCTACTGCCATTGTATCGTTGCTACAATAAAAGATAATTGATGAGTATTTCTGGAAACTAAGGAATAACTTCATATCTGATTTGTCTTTAGTCCCGAAAGAAGACTTGAAGAATTGGCAATAAGTACGTCCCTTCAATCTATCCGGAATTAATATATCTTTAAACGTAAACATAGGTACTACAAAAACACAATAGTCACAATAGTCACATCTGAGGCCATAATTTTTCAGCCGCGTTATCTGAGAAATCGTGAGGTAGAAGATCGCCACTAGTAACAGTTAGTTAGTTAGTTAGTTTGTTTAGTGGATTTAGAACTATTTAGTAGATTCAGACTAGAAGTTATAGTCGGAAAAACGCGTCTGCGGTCAATTACTACCCAAAGAGATACCAGGATGGGGTAGCCTAATGTCTTCTACCCTACACCCCCCCCCCCCCCCAACACGTCTTTCAGTAGTGGTTGTCCTTTACTTCTCATGTAATCGAGATTACGGGTGAAGATACATCTTGCTGATCTCCAGGATATTTGTGTGAACTGGGCAAGTGCAGTATAACGGACCATCATCATGGATATCTTTGTGAGTACTTATTTAAACATACCATTGAGTATCATAATGCGATGGATGAAATACTCATGACAATTAACGAACATCACCCACCTCACCATTAAAGTGTTAATACGAATGGTGATTAGCACCGCCCTCACCTCCAATTATTGAGTCAATTATTAAATATATTATAGCCGTTGGAGAAAGGTAACGGGAATAGAAAATAAATTCCTACAATGCCGTGGTGTTTCGATTTTTTGAGTTTTTCGCAAAATGAGAGGAATGTGAATGTGCCCATGTTGAGCCGCATCCTCCAATAACCATGCTGCAAGCAAGGAAGGATGATCCAAAGTGAGAGGACTCGCAGCAACTCCCTCCGGGCCTTAAAGATAATCTGACCAAGGAGAGAGGATGTAAAAAATAGAGCCAATGTTATGGAAATTTTTTAATACATTGATAAATTTTCAAACCGCGATATGGAAAATTTCACATAGCCTGGGAGCAGAGTAATAGCGGACAAAAATTAGAAATTAGTGTTCATCCATAAGATTAAAGCGTGAAGAATACAGAGCCTATTAATGACTCATTATAACTCATATATAACTAGTAAGTTTAAGATTTTCTAATATGCTTCGGCTCCTAGATTATTTGAAATTTTACAAATCCTTGCTTAATGAATTGATCAGTGCATTGAAGAATGCTCATAGTATTGACTGCATTTTTTTCCCTGTGTCGCACCCGATTACCCGTAACAAAATCAACAACAAAACTAAAACTATTTCATTTAAGGCCAGGGTGGACCATCTATCGAACGTCATCTTTTGTTTGAATTTGATCTTGTTAGCCGAAAATATATTAAATTTTGGGATCAAATTTGTATCGCGGAAGCCACTCGAATAGTTATAAAAAGATAACGAAAAAAGCGGAAAAATGATTGAAGGGCGCTAAATGGCGATATGGATTGAAACGGATCTACCCAGTTTACAAAAAAATTTTTTTAAATACACCGCTTAGCATTCGTCTATAGCAGTGTCTATGGCAATCTAGGGCTCTTCACTAATTTTTACTTTTTTTTTCGTTATCTTATTATAACTATTCAAGTGGTTCCCTCAGCACACAGTTTAACAAGATCAAATTCTAAGAAAAGATGACTTTCGATAGATGGTCCACTCGGGCCTTAATATTTAATGTCCAACCATCCTTTTAAATGCCGTCATCGGTTTACTAAATAATAACTTTCATCGAATTACTCGGAAATACAGGCAAAAAAAGACTATTCTTTGAAAATTCATCCTTCCAATTAAAAGGCACTTTTTATCATGTGGCTGTAAAGTTACCATCTTACACTATTAAAGGAACTACTGAAATTAATCATTACCACTGAGCTGAAGTGATTCACCTGCAGGATTAATATCTAGCAGTCTTTGATCCTGAGTTCTCGTTGGGGTTGGTGTTGGAATATTCCTCGTCTGCTCCAACTCCAATAAATTTCTGATTCTCCTAACTGAACTTGCGCGCTGACTAGCTGCGGCGCTTAATGATGACTTTTGACTAGCTAATGCTGATCTAGCACTGGAAGCAACTGATGCTGGTCTCGGTCCTGACCCTGGCCGGTGACCCGTTGAGCTGATAGCCGTGGAAGCACGCAAATTAGCGAGATTTACCTGTTGTGCTGATGCTGACCTTGTTGATAGACGATCGAGAGTACTTGAAAGAGGTCGATATCCACCGTACGTCCCATAATCTGCCTGATAAGCGGAAGAAAGAAAATAATAAAAACAAAATTTTAATAAATTGGAAACTGTTGAGTGCAACAATTCCGTCAAAATTATTGACAAAACTCTATCAATTTTAATTTTTTTTTTACTTTTACGGTTCGCACTTCACGCTCGTGATTTTTTACCCTGGAAGGAAATATCCGATGATTTCGAAGCTCTCATTGTATTATAAGTGAATATTATCCACTCGCTGATCGTGTTAACGGAAACAAAAGGAGTCCAGGAGGAGATTAAGTTATCCAAGACAACTGAGAGACTCATTGAAGATGATTGATTTTATGATTTTCATTTCCATCGATATGCATAGAAATTGCATTGAGGCTAGGCAATTACTGTCGATCTTTTTAATTAAGATTCTGTGATTCATCTGCCCGGAACCGGGTGAAATGGCGTGAATCGTCCGAATAATTACCAAAACTTTGACTATCCTCATAAATATTCAGCTTTGTTTAGCCTTTACAAATTGACAAATTCTTCAATTTATAAAGTTCGAACTTCGTAAACTTACTTGATTGACAGCTGCGTGAATATTCTCTGCACTGTACGTGTATCTCGGTGGTCTGTTATTCGTCGCCCTAATCTGTTCGTAAAGTGCACTGGTGCTAGGAGTTCGGCTCAACCACGCTCGATATTCGTCAGAAGTGAATACACTTGGTGATGAGGGTATCCTTCCTAAAAGTCAAAGGTATTTATTTGAAATTTAAATTTATTCAATTTTTACATAAATTGCCGAGAGTGAGCTTTCAGCTAACTTTGTGCGTAAGACTTTTTACGCGTAAACCTATTTCTATCATAGTAATTAGAGAACTAAATTGTTATCTATCAGATAATCCACCCGGGCCTTAATATCTTCAAAAAGGTTCATAGCACTGATTGCATTTTTTAGTTCTCTCCATTTCGCCCGACTATCCTTAATATTTAATAATAAAATATAAAAGGCTCTAACATCGACTTAAGTGTGCAAATAATGAAATTTGAGGTTTTAAACATTTCGATGGATAACTGTCCGAATATGGCTGCTGTAGGTAATTTGTAAATAATCGCATTTGAAGTGTAAATCTCTACAAATAAATGATTGAAATTCATCTATTACGCAAAATACATATATAATTAAAGAAAAATAAAAATTCTCCCGAAATATTCATACATTCATTTGAAAGGAAAAATTGTTTTATAATTGCAGCGGTTTTTGCTATCGACTGTCGTAGATTTAAAAAGCTGCAGGGACATTAACATCACACAAGTAAATTCTCCGCACAACAGTGGGTGCAACGTTTAGTGATAGTGGTTTATAAGTTTCTAAGTTTGTAAACATAGAATGTCTCAATCCAATGTCAAACAAATAATCGCGAGAAGTAGTAAGAAAAGGCATAATTTTTATCTGGATGGATCCTTTTGTTAATAATACTACTGCAGAATCAGCTTTGCATAATTAATTCGGAAAGTCCTAAATGCACCATGCAGATCTTCTCATGAAATCTGTGGCGGCTTAATTTTCTTCAATTCACTGATTCGTTAATTTGGATAAATTAGAAATAAAAATAGCAAACACAAAAGTCGATAGTACTCATCTCAATTTTCCTTTGTTACCTCTGTCCCTTCTTATAGAAGGCATTTCGGGTGCCGACAATGCGCCATCGCTGTCCTCCTGATCAATAAGCCCAGAAGCAACAGTACTAAGACCCGTCCTAAGACTAGGCTGCTGTGGCAATGCCCTACCACTTCTTGGAAGTGAATTTGTTCTCAGACCTTGATTAAAAAAAAATACTTCTATCATTTATTTGAAATTAATACAACATAATTTCACTATTCATTTGAATTTGAAGAAATTAATTTTTTCCCGGCATTAATTATGCAAAGAGTTGTTAGTTCAGAATGAATAATTTAGACATTTTACCAGCTGAACTGTGACCAATCTGGGATCGTGAAAGGGTTGCTAGATGTGATACTGCACTATGCGGTGGTTGATCTCGTAGATTTTGACGATAATAATAGTATGCCGATCTTGGTGAGCTTGAACATGTTGCTTCTGTGTCTGATGCATAATCCAGGGACGGACGATGACGCCTTGTAAGGGTACCAAATTGACTTTGACTTCTCTGCCCTGTCGATGTACCATCGGTTTGAGCGCTGTATCTAGTACTGTATCTTAATGCTGAAGAACCTGAAACATGCCAAATTCGCTTGCTGAGAAAAAAACATACATTGAGAAAAAACAAGCAGTTGGTCGAGCCTACTGCCCATAAAATATTTAACGATTACAGTATGCATTAGTTTTTTCTTCTCATTCAGCATTCCTACCAATACAATTGGTAATAAGCTTCTGAATGGATCGGAAGCTATTCCGGCAACGATTTTTTCAAAAAACAGGAGAACGGAAATTGTTCATATTCTTCTCCCAACGTGTACATCTCTTTGATTGATCTAGATAGGTAACAACGTCATCAATATTTTGGAAAAATGAAAAATGAAATCGGATGAGTTATTTTGGAGATATTTGAGAAAATCGTTTCAGATACAAAGTTTGAATATTTCCTGAACGAATTATGCAATGTAGCCCATCTGCAATACGAAACATTGTGGCCATAGGAGGAAACTTTCTGCCAAATTTCAAGTTGATAGGTTGTTTTTTATTAAATCAGAGAGCCAGCACAACAAATTTCTTAGCAAAACATACAAATTGAGATATCTCGAAAATTTTGTAGGACCACATGTATATTAGTAAAGCTCATTGAGACGAACATCTCAAGAGAAACAAAAGGAAATCGTATGATTTCTCAGATACTAGCAAAACACTTTTCAGGAATAACTACCGATATTTAGAAAACTACTCGACCGATCGAGATTTGCGAGATTTTTAGGAGGACTTTGTTAATGAGTCGACAAAATTGAGCCGATAGGGATTGCTAGTGAACAATAAAATGATTCACTTTAAAATTTTTGCAATAATTGTAGATGCACCTGCAAGATCATATATAAAAGAAGGCGAAAATCCTGGACGATTCTCTACATAGATTTAAGCATAGTTATGTGCTAATAAACAATAGATTAATATTTCAGTTAGTAATTATTATTTGGAATAATTCATTCCATTTGTGATATATGCAAATTTCAATTTTCCATTACTTTTCCTGCGTTAGAAAATGCCGCCACCATATCAAAGTGACTAGTGATTGAACTGACTAAAATTTAGTAAATCATCAAACCAAGTGTAAAAGTCGTTTATCATCAAAATTATGGAAGCCGTTCCTGACTCATCAGAGTGAAAACCCAAACCCTCCACACACAAAAAACCTGAAAAATCCGAGAAAAATCTACCCACCAGCTCCCTGGCGGAATGAGCAGGTAGCTCAAAAACTGTAGCTCTGAGAAGAAAATTCACTACTGCATTTAGAAAATTCTTTACTGAAGAAAACTACATCTCCATGAAAAAACAATCAGCTCTTACTAAACTTACAATCGGAAAGGAAAAAATAAAGGAATGGGCTAACTCCGTGCTAGATAGAAACAACCCCATTAACATAGTTTGGAACCAAATCAAATGGTCTAAAAATCGTCACAACCAACTACCCAAACAAGCTAACGAGTCTACAGCAAATGTGAGAGAGTTCATAGCCGACTTCTGCCCGAATCTTCTCTCAAAGTACCACTCCTCCTTACCCCCTATCATACCTTTTGAATCTAATCCGTTTTTTGACAAAGAATTCTTCGGGACTCGATAAAATCGTCTAGATAATAATCAATAAATTATGCTCAGGTTACCTCCGTAACCGCAGCTTCGAACTCTCCTTATCTCCAGTAGAAAAGGCAGTTAACAGAATATCAGAATTTCTGAATACAAAGCGTCTAGAAATCTTCCTTGAAAAATTCCACCTCATAATCTTCTCCAAAAAACACTTCAACCCCCTTGAACACTCCATAAGCATTAAAAACTCCGCAGTCGTTGCTGAGGAATCCACTCAATTCCTTGACATCAACCTCGACTGTAGGCTTAGCTTCTGTAACCATATAAAATCGGTAACCCACAAAGGAACCAAAATCATCTCTCTGATGAAATCTGAGAAACACTGACTACGATGCTGATCCCCGCATCCTCCTCATTTTCTACGGTGGACTCCTCTGTACTTATAGCAAATCCAGAAGCCACTTGCCACACGACTTCAATTACAGTGATTTTGGAAAACTAAACAAGCTTCAGTGCACTGCAACAAGACTCGCAATCGGTTATCGCAACTCCACCCCCGCAAATGTCATATTGACAGAAGCTTCAGAACCCCTTCTCTCACATAGAATCTCTCAACTTTTTGACCGCTACATAATGCGCTCATTCTTCATCTCTCAGCATCCTTTCCTTCAAAAACTTCTAATCCTCCACCGCGTCTTAGAAAAAAAGAATACAAACATACACCATATTCGAACCGTCAAAATTCATACTTACATTCAGCCAGTCCCATACTAATTCCCATTCAGCCTCATCAACCCCACACCTCCAATTAATATCTCCATAGGTAAAAAATCGACCCAGTAATGCTTACACGGCACTGCTAGCCGAATTTCGCTCCGAAAATCTTAACCTACATACTCAAATTTTCACAGACGGATCCAAAACCCACAACGGTTCATTCGTTGGTTCCGCAGCATTCATCGCCTCGCTCAACGCCGAAATAAAGTGACAAATATTATCATACGCTTCAATCTTCAGCACTGGAGCCCTCGCAATCCTCAATGTCGTGGAAGAAGTCAGACAGCGCAATATACAAAAAATCCTAATGTTATCGGGCTCCCAGAGCGTCCTTTTAGCACTCACCAACTTCTATCTCAAATTCACCTCCCAAATCATCTATCAAATCCTCGAACTCTGGTCACTCCTATCTATCAATGACATGGAGGTTTTATTTTGATGGATCCCCTTCCACATAGGCATCTCTGGGAACGAATCAGTTGACTGACAAGCCAATACTTACAAAAATACTACACCAGCTGGCACCCACCATGGTTTCAAAAATTAGACATAGGAGGACTCCGGATATCCATCATCTCCAGACTAAGATCGAATCACTTTAATTTAAACCAAAGCCTAGACAGGAAGAATATTCTTAACTCCCTACTCTGGTCTTGCAGCTGAACTGAATCACTCGCTCACGTGCTCTGGTACTGTCCTTTGTATGTAAGGGAAATTACGGTGCTTGTCAAAGCTCCAAATAAACTCCACAGAGAACCCGACAACCTTGTCAAACTCCTGACCGCTCCCACCTATAAAAATTCCTACCTTAAATTCATCAACGAAATAGTTTAAAACCCTACACTTACTACAATTCAAATCTCCCTCCCCGATCCATTTTTACCGGTCCCGATAGAGGAGTAACGGCCGCAAGACAACTTAGTCAATGGCGGTGGTAAAGCAAAGAAGATTTGCTTACGGGCAGAATTGGTAAGTACGTGGCTAAGCTCCTTTATTTTACTTGCCGTGGGGAGTACATCATTTTTCTCCTCGGCGTAGGAGCTAAGTCAGAATTCCCTCTCGTGTAACGGGAGGAAAGTGTATACTTTGCTCCTGCCGGGGAGAAAAGTCATATCATCATCAAGCTTAGAAGTTAGCGGTGGAGGAACAATAATGAAAAGTGGAAAAGTAAAAAATATAAATTGAAAAAAATACGTTCAATGTGAAAAAGTTTTATTAGAATTTATCATTTGAGCTACGTACACGTGGGGCAAAGACAGTGTAGTGGGGTTGACTGAGACTAATCGTTTGGTGGAAGGAGACCGGGCTTATATCACTCAGAAACTATGAGTCATGTGGTGTACATCAAATTATACCGACGTAACGAAAATATAACTGATCAGTATCTTTATTAGTTTGATGATAACAATTTTTTCGGAAACGTAATATCATTCATTTAGCGAGTGGGTTGTGTGAGTTTCGTTGCGTCATGCTCGCTTGCCTCAAAATGGCGATCTATTGAGGTTAAAACACTACGGTAGGTTAGATTGACTCTAAAATATATTGTTTTCCGCATATCCGTATAAGTTTGTGTAAAATGGCAATAAGTTCTAACATTCTACAAAAATTTGCAATAGTCCATTTTTACAATTAAAAAGCCGACGCTAACAAGCAAATTACAGAATTGGCACCGAGGTTATGGTTCATCCAAAAAGAAAGTGAGTGGGGCTGTCGGTGGCCCCCACAAAACACCAAAAGTCTATTGATAAGTGGGTACCGCAAGAAAAACAAGATTCTCTACAGTGACTTCAAAATTCTGCCTGGGGCTGATATAGGTTTCATTTTTGCTTACTATCTCTTATTTTAGTTTTATAGGTACTTATAAAGCAGGCCTTAGGCAATTAGAAAGATCTTTCTATCAATTCCATAAGTTTGTCACTGACTCCGACAATAGGGGGAAACGTAGCATCATCTCAAAAGTGACAAGGAAACTAGCCAAGGAAAGCCTTCTATCTGAGCGTAAACAGTAATTTTTTAGTTGAAATCCAGAGGTTCGAAAAAAACCAGGGGAGATTGTTGTAGTGGGAGAAGGGCAACACGAGGAGAGAGAGAGATAGTGGCGAATTACGGAACAGCCACCAAGTCTTCCGCCATCACGAACAGAGGGCGAACGTAATCAACAGGCTGTTTACAAGTCAAGGATTGCTACAGAGTAGATGAAAAAGGTAACAGTAGCGCAAGTCGTAGCTTACCGACTCACTATCGACGTTAGTATTTACGGACAGATCCTAGAGGTCTATCCTTAGAATCACTTGTAAACAGATCCTAGAGGTCTATCCTTAGAATCACTTGTAAACGAATCCTAGAGGTCTATGGAGAACCCATGGAGATACTCCACACCAGGGACTAGGACGAAACAAGGAAACGGAGGACTCGAGAAATTCTGGGAAACTACGGGGATTGAGGGTTTTAAAAGAAAAGTCAATTTTGGAAAATTTGAAGAATTTTGAGACGTGAAATTCCAGAAAGATAAATTGATTAGAAAAGGGAAAGAAAATTATTAATTTGTGGACGCGTTGAACTTATGCTCTAATCTTTAAAAATTTGTGCACTGGACACTGAGCAATGAGCACCACAAGATTAACATAGGTGAAAAGAATTTTCTAAACGTTAAGTTCGTTACAGATAAGTATTTTTTCCTTTCCGAGAACAATCTTTCACTAAAAAATTCACCGCTGCAAATTCGAGAATTAACAAAAAAAAAGCCAAAATGCAGGGACAACCTCACTGACGTAGCAACAGTACTTCACCTGAGGACGATTCTACATTCAATAACAAGGAGATTCGAGTAACAAATAGTTCCTACGACGAGAAAGGCCAAATTGTGTAAACCAGAGTTATCAGATTCTTAAGGTTGTTGTCGTGTAAACCCGTTTTTCGACAGATTTTTTTAAAATATTGGCTATAGATAGCTTTAAAATTCCCTCCGAAATGAGCACAATAAAACACCAATCGTCAGTTTCTGAGCTGAGGTATGATTTTTTGAATTAACATGGGTTCAAATACATTTCACCGTTTTTATTAAAAAAAAAAACCACTCGACATTTTTTGATGAAATTGACACAGAGCGTAGAAATAGTGACCACCAATATACTGAAGAAAAAAGAAAGTGATCGTCAGTTTCGTAGTAGAGTAATAAATTTTCAAAGTAGCATTATTTCTCCCAGTGGGCGGAGCGCATGGGTTTGTTGCGCGCGACGCGACAACAACGCTGTTTGCTCGCGTAGCGCGAATCTATTTGGAATAGTCAATGACAAATACATTGAGTGAGAAAGAGAGAGACATGAAAACAGAGACACGCTGCGCGCGGTTGCCACGATCGGCACGATTTAGCGTTAACTGTGTGTACATGTATCCATGCATGGTAGATTCTTGTGTGCGTGAGTCGAGTGGAACTGTACACCCGCAAAAGTTTATATTCTAACTCGTATTCTCTGCTTAGCGGAAGATCAACCCGGAGCGTAGTAAATTCTAAGCCTGACTCTCTCGCGACAACAACCTTAAAGATATTCAAAATCAACGAGCAACTAGCTTCTAGTATTCTCAACGAATTGGGTCTACGTCTTCTTCTCCCCAAAAAGACATGTGGACTACGCCCCAATCATATCTTCATAAGTTTACGACGAGTTTAGTACGCTTTAAGAAACAAATAACTGCTCTGTTCCAAAACATTCAAATTTTTGAATCAGAATATTAAATTTCTCACGCCAACTAATGCAATTGCCAAACGTTAATTTCTTTGTAATGCTTCCAACATATAAAGCTCGCAAGATAAATTCCAATTTCTATCGGATTGACCCCTAATTTTTTAAAGATATTTTCATCAATTGAAAGATAAAAAATGAACTAACCTGTTTTCAAACTTGATCTGAGAAGTGTGTGCCGCGCAGGCGTTGTGATACTTGTATAATCCACTCTTGGTAAATGCTGATCTGATCCACTTCTCGGCATGATTCGTCCACTTGGAGTATGTTGGGAATACCCATAACCCTGTGATTGACCTGTGAGCCGTGTTCCAATGGTCTGCATACCAGTACCAGCCGACATTCTCCGAGTGCCATTTGTCGGCATCACGGGACCCGTGTAGAATGAGTGAACCTATATCACCAAAGTTATTTTAAATATGTACCCACTGGCTCAAAGTATTTCGCAAAATTATCTAAAGATTCTCGAGTATTTTTGGTGTTTTGCCCACATAAAACGGCATTTTTTCAAAGAAATTATCAATTGTAGAATCATTTCCCTCTTGAGCTATATTCAAAGAAAATACGAAAATAGAGTCTCGCATAATTAAATATTATTGAATACAGACTATCTTTATATAGTCAACTATGAATGATTTGAACGGGACATATACTGCTCATGTGTTTTTCTTATAAATAATTTCTGGAGGATTTTTTTTTGTCAGATCTGTTGGTTCCTGAGATTATTATTCAATTAATGAACATTTTCGCTTTCATGCTAATCGATGGAAATATTTTATCAGCATACGATGCTTGCAATCGTCATCGTATCATCACCAAAAATACTCATTAGCACAAAGAATGCCACAGAGGATAGAAAACGATGCAGTGAACTTAAATAATGAAATATACATGAAAAAAAGTTCAATGAAAACTGGTCATCCAATAAGGAAAAAAAGAGAAAGCATCTGGCTCACATAAAAAATCAGGGTGACACACCACAAACAGGTCGATTAATAATATTCATTTTTATAGAATTTTTATACAAATATTGAAGATTATAAATAATATACGATTTAACGAGGTCTAGTTATTCGTTATCAGGCATTTTTTTTAATTTATTGATTTTTTGTTTTTCATTATTTACCTTCGTGAAATCCTGGGTAATAAAAATGTAGCATTCATTGAGGACACCGGGAATTAGTTCATTAGATCTCGTTATTGAGGTGTAAGCACAAATGTATTCGAATCAGTTTAGATCATTTGAATTTCAAAAAAAAAGGAATTCATTTGGAACAGCTTGTATTGGAAAAAAAGAAATTTTTTTTGTAATTTTATTAGGAATATTTCTAATCGCTCCAGATATCTTTGAATAGTGAATAACATTGAAGTGAAATTGCATTAATTGTTCTTTAATTATCTGATTTTAGGCATTCATTACTCAAGAATTAATCAATAAAAAAAGGTAATGAATTCCGGGATAATTTTTATTGCAGAATAATTCTGTACTCCTGACATTGGATAGAATATTCATGAAAGACTATAATTATGAATTATGACAATAAAAGTGGCAATTGTAAGGACGTACTGGGTGTCACCGTATTGAAACACTGGGAAAACAATGGTTAATGGTGTTAAACGGTGCAGATAGAATTTTTATAGGGTGCTCTTTATCAACATTGTCTAGAACATCTAGTCCAAGCCAAGCCTGCGATCAATGCATCATTAGAACAGCTTAAACTTTCACTTTAACTTTGAGAGATTTTGTGCGGCTAAGCTCAAATAACCCCTCCCGCAAAGTTATACAACATTAACTCGACATAATTTTGCTTAAACCATATCATCCACTTAATAGTCATTATCACTTTTTTATCGAACGTTCTAGACAAACATCGGCAGTTTTTTCTTTTTGTCGCAATATCAAGTAAGTTCGGTCAATTTCTAGTATAGGCCACCAATAATTATCATTGCAATAGCAAGTTTTCACATTCACACACGGCTAGACCTTTGTTATTTAAAAGAGTGCATTAGTCGATGAGAGTGTAGATAGGGGGATACGGCGCTATCATTATAGATCGTTAGGTAGTCCTGAACAAGTCCTTTATCGCTCCAGAAGTACATGAATATGTATACAGAAATGATGAGTGAGTGAATAATATTCAATATAATTAAAACTAATATCTGCGCCTTTGGTGTGCATCTCACTTGTAATGTAGTACAATTGATACTGTATTTTTTTGTATTAAATATCTACACAAACGATCCTCTTCTTGCAGAAAACTCGACCTAGCATTTTTCATAATCTATATGTCATTAATTAATTTGGTAGATATTATGAAAAACCATTTAGATTCATAATGAAATCGATTAAAAATGATTTATATCTTGAAGACCAATATTTTCATTAGATGAGAATACTAGTACTTTTTCATACTTTTTTCCTGTGTTCATTTTTGACATTTTCCTTTATTACAATCTATAATATTATATTCTATATACTATATAGAATATGTACGGCTTATCCATAATATGTTGAGTATATATAGGGTATTTGATGCCAAATCGACCACTTTTTAACCTGACTCCTTTCAATCTGGTCAAGAGTTTTCCGTCTTTTTTTACCCCATGAGAAACGCTTCTCAGAATTTTTTCAAATTTTTTTACCAGACCGAAAAAAATTATGAATTTTGAAAAGATGACTTTTTTATTTTCAATAACCATCACTTTTCAAAATGTAACCTTATGGTACTTCTATTTAAAACATAGTGTTTTTCAATTAATTTTTCGAAAAACAAAAAAATTTTAAATGGAAAACTCTGAAATTTGTGCCCTTTTCGAGAAAACCCATTTTTATATATTATATATATATAAAATCACAAACTTCAAATGAATGGTCTCAGGAGTCCCAATATTAATTCCTGACAGTTTTGTGTCAGTTGGGCTTCTATCCAAATAAAGTTGCCAATTTGATTAATTGACAGCCAATCGGAAAATTCTCGTATCAATAGAGAGTCAATCACAGCGTTGGCCAGCTTCGTCACCCGTTGAGTATTGTTAATCCGCCATCAACGAGCACGTCTGATTTGGACGCGTAGTTGTTAACACCTGAATTTTGTCGACGCAATTCTCTTGATGTTTACTAAATATTTGATTGTGTGAAAACCACTGAGGGAAAGAGATAGACTTGATGAGTTAGATTGCTGCTTCCAGAAACATTTAAAGGACTAACGGTGAACGGTGGAAAACTTTTTGTAAAGAGATTGGTAGCTTGTCAGAGAAATTTTGGATTTAAAGATTATTACTAATTGTGTGATTCGTTTTCCATAGCGTATGACGCCATTTTCGAGTGTGTCAGAGTTCTTGAATTGCCTAAGCTTGTTCTGTAAAATCATTAGAATCTCATTAGAATGCATCTTAAACTTTTGATTCGTGTTTATTTTCCGATTTATTTTTCTGTCTTTTAGAAAATTTGTGGTTTAACTACTTGTAGAGACGACTCTTACCGCTCTTAATTTTTGTTTCAGATTTATTGTCGCCGTAATTGTTGGTTTTCTTTTGTGGGGTGATTTTTGGAATCTCGAGGTCATTGTTATTGTCCTCGACGTTTCGGGTGGCGGAAAAAATATCTCCGGAAAAAATATCCCGGAAAAAAAATCCCGGAAAAAATATCCCCCCAATCATCCATATCATTTATGTCGCCCTTTTTTTTATGTACATATGCAGTCAGAGTGGGGGGGGGGGCTCCCCGCACAACATGTTAACTGAAAATTTGAGAAAAAAAAATAATTTAATTTCATGGGGAATCGAACCCACGTTTTTTTAAGCGCTCTTAGCCACTGAGCTGCTGGTCGTCATATTGGAAAATTTCATGGGCTTAATTTGTTGTGTTGTGATTAGCATAAAGAGGGAATGTGTGTTTTGTATACATTCTCAACTTTCAGTCGAGTGTTTACATTTAGGAAATATTTCGACTGGACACCATGCGGGCTCTTCAGTCCATTTTCACAAATTATCGCGTGTGGGTGTAGGAATGGAGATCATACGATCGAATAAGAAGGGTGTGAAGTTGTGTGATACAGTGCGTGGATACATGTATGTAAAAAAACGTGTAAACACGAAGTACACAACTTGGAGGTGTGATAGGGCCAGTCGTCCATTTATGGTAAGTGCAATTGATGAATTTAAATAGTATTTAAATTAATTTTATCAATTAATTTATTGTGTATTTTCTGTGCATTTTATTTATCTATTTATTTCAGTGCCTAGCCATTCTGAAGACAGAAGGCATTACTCCTCTTGATAATATTCTTCCTGAACATAATCATTCAGGAGATATTGCGAGAGTGAATATGACTCGAGGCTATGATGCCATGAAGCAACGGGCCGCGACATCCTCAGCAAGGCCGAGCCAAATTTTTTCCCAAGGCGCTCTATCCTTGACATCGCCCACACGAGCCAGATTACCTCAAGAGGATTCGGCGAAGCGAACGATTCGCAATCACCAGCGTGATTTGCACGTGCTGCCTATGCCGATGAGGCTTGAGGATCTGGTGATTGAAGGTAAGTTTGTACAATTATTGATATATTAATTTTGATTTGTTTTTCAAATTAACTTAGAATTTAAATTGATATTTAGCGGCGAAAGTAGCCACGCGGGCGGTGTGTGACTCCGGCGATCACCCAAGCTAAGCAACGCTCAGTTGGGCTAGTACTTGGATGGGTGCCCGCTTAGTCACACCCATCGGCGTGTAGACTGCCGCCGTCAGGCACGGGTGCGGAGAACTGGTGTGTTCACCGAGTCAGTGTGACTGATGAACACAGCAGAATCCCCGCATTACCGGCCGGCTGCGCTACTGAGGTTTTACATGGTTTCCCTCAGTACACGCCAAATGGACGCAGTACAGAAAGTCGGCCCATGCTACCGCAAAAAATAATGAGAGGATAGTAGGAGAGGCTAATGAGAGGATAGTAGAAGAGGCTAAAGGCTAAGACGAAGGGGCGCCTATCAAACCATGGTAACAATGGTAATAGGAAAAAGGAAAAATGTAAAAATAAATAAAAAATAAATTGATATTTTCTCCATTTTTTTCAGGCGATTGGACGATGACTGGCGATGCGAATCCACAACGGTTTCTCCTGGCCGATAACAAGGACAACGAAGCCCGGATGCTGATCTTTGCAACTGATCGGATGTTAGAATTGTTGGGGATTGCTACTGAATGGTATGTTGACGGCAATTTCAAACTTGCTCCTCGACTGTTTCAACAGTTGTATATTGTGCGTGTTAGATATGGTGAAGTGCACGTTACGGTAGCGTACGTATTACTTCAACGTAAGACACGGGCAACATATGAGGAGATGTTCAGGGTGTTGTTGGAAAAGTGTCGTGATCGGAATATTATACTTGATCCCCATAGATTTTACTTAGACTTTGAAATCGCCGTTTTCAAAGCTATCCGTGAAATATTTGGGGATCAAGTGGAGCTCCGAGGGTGCTTTTATCACCTGTGTCAAAGCACCTACAGAAAAGTGCAGGATTTAGGGTTAACTGAATCGTACAAGCATGACGCAGAATTTAATAAATTCTGCGGCATGCTTGACGGGTTGGCGTTCCTGCCCCTTGGAAGTGTGGTCGAGGGGATGAAACATCTGAAGGAGATTGCACCCTCCACTGCTTCGGACATCGTTAAATATTTTGACGAAACCTACGTTTCCGGGATGTTGAAGACGTCGAAGAAAGGCGGCCTTTCCCTGAAGGTCAAACGATCTTTGCCTCTTTTCCCTCCTGAAACGTGGAATGTTCACGATCGAACGGTTGAGGGTGCACCGAGAACGAACAATTCGACGGAAGGATGGAATAATCGTTTTAAACACTTGTTTAATTCGAACCATCCAACTGTCTTCGTCCTCATATCGAAGATGCGTTAAGAATTGGCGGCAGATTACACAAAACTGGATCAACAAGATCTAGGGGTTAGGCCTCGTAAGAGGAAGCGCACAGCGACTGAAACGAGAAACATCCAATTGTGTAATCTGTGTGACCAATTATTGAAAAATCAGCAGACTATCCCTCAATTCTTGGCATCCATCAGTGAAGTGACGCGTGTCCGGGTTTTGGAGTGAAAATAGATTTTTTTAAATTTTCTTTTACAATTTTCACCTTTATTTTTTTTTAGTTCTTGATTTTTTTTCCATTTTTGTATTTGCCTTTTTTTTTATGGGATCAGTAACCGCCACGTCCCCGTCGTTGATCCTGGATTAAAACCAAGAGCGGCTGTATTGTTAAATTACTGTTGTATATTTATTTTTATCGTAATAAATAAAGAAATTGTTTTCTAAAATGCATTTTGTTATTCGTCCGCTTCCCTTTTATCCTCTATATTAAATAATTTTTATTAATTAAATTATTAAAATTAGGATTTTTAAATATTTATTATTAAGAATTAAATATTAGAATTTTCTTGGGAATAACTTTTCCGGGGATATTTTTTCCAGGGGTATTTTTTCCGGGGATATTTTCTCCGGGATATTTTTTCCGGGGATATTTTTTCCGGGGATATTTTTTCCGGGGATATTTTTTCCGGGGATATGTTTTCCGGGGATATTTTTTCCGGGGATATTTTTTCCGGGGAATTTTTTTCCGGGATTCTTTTTCCGGGATATTTTTTCCGGGGATGTTTTTTCAGGGATTCCGACGTTTCAATCCATTATCGTGTGTGGCTTGAGAAGCCTCTTATATTTTCTCAATAATTTGTCAAACGTTTGAAATGACAGCATTGGAAGAGGGTTTGCAGTGTCTTTCGACGCTCGAGATTTCTGTTTGCCCCGGTAACCCTTTCGGTTACTATCGGCGTCCGTTTACGTCCTCTCGAGGCATTCCCCTGTCAATCGTTGAACTCTCTTTTATTGTATTAGTGGACCCGCTCGTTCCTCACGATAATTGTGGAATCATTTTTCATATAAAAATTCTGACTTATACTGTACTAACTGTTTTGACAAGTGATCGTAAATTTTGACTTTATTTCTGACTTATTCGACTCATTCATTTTGAGTAGTATTTCATATTTTGACTTGTGGTTATGGAATTTATTAGTTAAGAGAAAATATCTGTTTGTGACATTGTTAAATTTATTATTTTCCTATATTAATGAGAACAGTGTGATTTTTTATCTACAGAGTAAGTCGGGGATTTTCGATCATAGTGCGTTATTTTCCATAATTTAAATTATGTTAAATGATTTTGTTATCCCGCAATGATTCTGTCTATTTGAATTCTTTCGTAATAAGCCATACCAGCCATTTGAGAATTATCCAAGGAGAGTTTTGGGAACCTAGTCGCCTTTTGAAAATTTTGGCTGTTTTATTAAAAATGTCCTGGCGCCTAACATTTTATCGATTTGAGTGGGTCGCCGAGGACTACAATTTTCGTTCCTACTCTGTGGAGGGCGAAATACATCACAATATATATGTTTTTTTCCAATCCTATCTATAAAAGGTGATACACCAAAATTAAGTTGGGCGAGAGTAAGATTGGCTAACTTCATGCATAAGACTTTTCACTCGTAACCCTATTTCTCATTGGTCAATTGGCTACGTCATCATCAACACCACGGAATCAAATGGCGCGCGGAGCGCGCGTTCGGTCTCGTCTTGAATTAATTCTGCGATTATTCCCGCCGATCTCAGAGTGGGCCCATTTTCTTCTATTTATTTCTATTCGATTAAGCAAACGTTTTCAAATTCAACAAATTCTGTTTTTTTAACTTTGAAAAGTTTTAAACTTAAAGTTTTAAACAAACGATGTATTGAGGTTAAACACTACGTCGGTTTTTAGAAATAAGATATATTCAATACTGAAGATAGCAATGGATGATGAGAACGAGGAATTAAGGTTGTTGTCGCGTAGAATTTTTTTTCGACGGTTTTCGTTAACAATTTTATGGTGAATAGTTTGAAAAATTAGCAACAAAATGAACCTTTTCCGTTTGCAATTGACCGTTTTGAACTTGAGATATAAATTTTTGAAATTCGAGTGATTTAACACGTGTTTAAATGGAGTTTTGCCGATTAGAATGTTTTAAAAATCAACGGCTCGACAGTTTCAGAAATAAAAAAAAACGTGGAATATACATGGTGGGAGGAAATACAGAAAAAAAAATCAAATCGATTGACCGTTTGGTTTACGGAATATAATTATCGGAAATTCATAAATTTATATAATTGAAAATAGTTAATATGGAAAATATATAGTTATGCTTTAGCTATCCATGCACAATGCAATCAATCAAGTGAGACTATATACCGCTAAAAGATTGTGTTCTATACTGGCCCGTTTTACAGCGGATAAACTTTTTACAGAGACTGTCGCGCGACAACCACCTTAAGATGATTCTTCTTTCTAGTCATCTAGACATAGCCTTAGCAATCTAATAGGGTTCTCAGGATATGAAAATATTAGATTTAAAAATTTTTCATAGGGTAGACAAGAATAGAAAACGTTTGGCCAGGTTAAAAAGGTTCGGCTTCAAAAATAGTCGATTTGGCATGGAAGACCTTATATGTAAACCATCTATGAAAATTCGTGGAATGAAAATAATACAATTGATGAGCCGAAGGGAGCCTTCGAAGAATGTTACAATGGATTATATTAAAGGTGTAATAACGTAGCCAAGGAATCTGTTTAGGACCTATTTAGTGTTTAGTGTAAGTCATTCATCTCTTCATATATCCATTGTCTATTAGCATACCAGCATGTGTTGTTTTTGGGGTCACCACCCCCTTTACGTCTTGGCCCTGAATAACGCAGAGAACAGTGTATAAAAAAAATCATATCTGCAAAACTATTTGTTTACCCCAAGAATAGTCTTCACCACATTAATCAATTGATGGAAACCTACACATAGTGCATTGTAGAAAATCTAGATTGGTTGGGTGGGCCTATATATGCAACATTTATCGTAAATTCGTCGGACCAGTAATTATTACAGTTAACTTTTCACTTGAAAAGACAAATGCAGATGGCATGAGCGTTTATTGAGACGGCACTGAAACTAACCCCAGTTGCTGGCACCAGGAGACCGGTTGGCCTAGGATGCACCAGTGCAAATGACCTCTTTGAATCAGGACAGCGTATTGGGAGGTTCATGAAACGGTAGAATCAATTCCATCGCGGAGTTTATAAAATTGTTGTCTATCTTATGTATCTATTTTATTAAAATTATTTCCGAGATAACGCTTGCCTTGTTGTCATCTAATTCAATCCTTCGTACTCCCCCCTCCCTTCCCCTCATTTTTTTCCCCGATATCAGAAAGAAAGCACCGACAAGTAAGTGAAATGATTCAGTGGTTGATCCTCAGTGAGAAAAAGTTTAATTCTGCATTGATCAAGATTTGAATAATGCAAATTTCATGTTGTGTCGATTGAAATAAAGTTATAAATCTGCTTACTTTTTCAGCCAGACTTTCCAGTGTCTTCGGATAGCCACGTTCATAGGGTTGAAAATGTTGAGTAGACGAGGGTTTCGGTTGATTAGTAATAACAGGTGGGGGTGGAGGTTGATAAGACCAGCCAACTTCTGGTCTTGAGTTGTAGTAAAGATCGCCATTACTTGAGCCAAGATCTTGGCTCGAGCCCAGACCAGTAAGACCCAGTCGAGATCGAGATGGAAGCATTTCTCTGCCATCACCTCTTCGTCTATTACTGTCCCTTAATTTATTGAAAGAAAAAAACATTATTAATCAGTGAAAGACTGAAAACAATTAAAGCTTTTCACAATAGAATTAGTGAAAGCAATAAAGATTCCTTCTAATTGGAAGACTCAATTCATACTGATGTCGAAATCGGATATTCGTGATTCTTTCTTAGCATGATTAAGTAATTCTTCAGACTGCGTCCACTATCTGATAAACTACCAATTGACTGCCAGAAGAAAACTCAATATAAATGAAAGCCCAATTCCAATAATCTAAAAATGGGCGGAAATGATTTTTTTTTATCGCTGAAAAATAGGCATTATCCAATGTGGATGGCTGTTGAATCTGTATGAGATAGTCTAAAATGGACGCTTATAAAATTTTCGAATGATTGATTACAAAATCATCATTTTCTGGCAAAGATTACAACCGAAACTGTTGTTTATATCATAAGGTCCGTCAGTAGAGTTTTCAAAAATTGATACGACGGACCAAATGATATTCATTATTTGTTTATCATTAAAGCCTAAAAGAGGGGGGGGGGGGTGGACCATAGGAACAGAGTGCAGAGGGCGTTGTAGAGAGTGCAGGCCTTCAATAGGAAATGAAACAATAAACTATTCCTTAAACCGCGGAAAAAAAGAAAACTAGAAAAATTTGAAGAGTGAAAAATGTGTAGTTTCGAAATTAGACGTCGTTGCCCCACGGTTTATTGTAGTCGGCAACATACAAAAGAGGCTAGGATCAGCAACTAATTGCCGACAACTGACCAACCACCCCCCTTCCAAAACGATGCTTTCGAGCATGCATGATAAAGAATTATTAATGATTCCAGAAAAATAGGCTCGCCTAAAGGATGCTTATATGTAGGCATCTTTTTATGTACAAGACAATTGGATTCATAGGAATATTCATAGATAAATTTGAATTTGCTTCAACTTTATGCTGAAGTTTGAAATGTACCGTACCTTTCGACTTCTTATTTTCCTATTCAAATAACATTACAATCATTTTTTGTTCACATATACGTCCTACAACCTATAGACAACTGACCATTTATTGGGTTACAAAATATGTCAGTTTTTTATTTTTCTACTTACGAAGGTAGTCAAAAGGATGAAATAAACAGAAAAAAAGTGGCTTCCCACCCTTCACTACAAAAGTAACTAGTTCGACCGATATTGATCGCGCTTCGTGCGACGGTGAACACCGCAATTGATGTGACCCTTACGAACTTAAACCAACAACGCGCGGTTTGTTGATTATCTAAAAAAGGAAAATCAACAACTGATCCAATTTTATCTAGAATCTAATGAAAGCTGAATTCAATGCAGAAGAAGACGCTTCTATTAAGTCAAGACTGACAATTCTAAAATTATTTCTTCTTTTTGAAACCCTAATGAAGGGCTCAGTTTCATGAGATGGTTCAGCGCCCCATCACTAGACGGCACAACTCCTACGAAGTCGATGTTTGTGTTTGATGTGTGTGGGTCATCTTGGTGGAGATACTCAAGCCATACGATGGCGCGGTCTGACATCACAGACAGGAAGAATCGTCATTCAGCAGTTTGTGCATTCAAAGGGCTGGAGCTGAATCATATTATGGGATCCTTACAACAGCTTACAACAAAAGTCGCAGATTCAATAAGAAATGAAACGGTGCTTAGCACAGGCGTCATTGGGTGAACTTGGATAGAATATGCACGAAGGCATATCTACGTTCAAGATACTATTCGGATAAATGTTTCCTCGGAGCAAGCTTGCTATCGAATCGGAAAATTGGCCGCATATTGAAACTTCTAAAGAAAAAATGACTAATGTTGAGACCAGCATCAGTGATACTTAGCGCATGGGCATGGAAGAGTCTCAAAAGTGAAACCAGGAATAAGATTAAGTATGACATACTGTAAGCAATACCAAAAAGTGTATACGTAATTGCCTCAGCACCAAAGAAAGTCCTCAAGAATAAATCGGCTGCCGCACAGGGAGAGTGGAGAACCCATTGTCGAGGTATTATATAAATTCGATCGATCGAAACACTGTGTCCCCCGTTTAGAACAAGACTATAAATTCAGGGACTACATGAAAATGTTTCGATATATCCTAGTTACCGATAAGAGTAACACGGAGAATCATGCTCATATTAGTGGTACCAATATATCTTCAGTATATACAAAGGTACTTCGAAAACTCATTAACAAGCGAGCAAGTGTATTAAAAACCAAATATAGAGGTCGTTGCTACTATAGGACCTGATGCGTAGCCGAAGCCATATAAATTTATGACAGCTTGCTTCAGGGTTGAATTAAGGCACCCACCAATGGCTATAGGTTTTGAAAACAATTCTTGCAATTTTGGTCCCATAATAATTGGAATATGAACGAATACTAGCCAGAAGGAATAGTCTGTTGATCACAGAAGACCAGCTGATAGAAACCAGTTACAGGGTAGGCAATAGCAGGTCCTCTGAACTGGATGCTTTCCCCAACATTGAACTGAAAGCAGTCACACACACGATGCAGGAACTTTTCTGTTGCCTTCATTCAACGTTAGATATCATCAATCTCCGGGTCAACATCGCATCTAAAATGAGAGAGTTCCATAAAGAAGAGATGAACTTAGTGGCCACAAGTGAGTACCGTAACTTAACTATACCATTTGATGCATTGAAGACATGGATATTTTTTACCATATCCTTTCGAGATAAAACGTGATGATTTTCTGTAGTGCTCGATTTATATGGAAGTGAATAAAAACTGGGAGTATTCCTCATAGGCATGCAGTTCAGCACGATTTACAGAGGTAGTACTTAGGAACTTGGGTAGAAGATTCAACCTGAAACCTTCATTGAAGCGTTGCTGCTATTTAATACGAGATGGGAATTCACAAAGATCACCAAAAATATAGAAATCAATAAATTTGTTTTTCTCTTGAATTTCAATCACACCTGTTAGCTAAATCAGAAAGACGAATCCACAAAATAATAGTTAATCGCGAAAGCGTAACCTGCGCTGAAAATCGGTGAAGGATAAAAAACCTCGGACGAAATCAGAGTGATCATTTTAGCCGTTTTTTATTTTACGTCAAAACTCTTACGATGTAGTATTATGACAATGTCTGTGTTGTTATGGTCGTCAAATGAAATCAGAGAAGATGATTTGATCAAATTAATCGATAAACTTGATCAGGTAATTATCCACAATAAACCCCACCCTCCCGTACGTCAGCCGGCTCGATTCTTATTTTATCCTGAAACTTATTTTACCTTACTTTCTCATTTTATTTTATCCATTACTAAAGCATAACTGATGTAAAATGTTGGAAAATATATGGTATCAGTCCAAAATATTCCACCAACCTGAAATTATTATTCTTGATGAGTAAGTGCGCAATAATGTGAAATAGATAAAATCACGTGACTTGACTTCACAAAACATCTAATTGTGAAAACAGGAAAAAGTTACCACACACACTAGTAATAATGTCGATGATGCATGCGCCCTAGGATTGGGTTTAATGTCACTGCCGATAAAGTGCGATGTTGGGTGAGCCATTAAACGATTCTCGTGGTGCTACAGCCTACAAACGGCTGTAAGAACAAACGGTAATGATATAGTAGATTCGTATCCACAACTTTCTCTGGTGCCCAGGTAGAAGGTCCAGGGTATCTCGAAAAAAACCGGCAGTCAAGGAAAGTGACTAGCATTTGATAATTTTTCGGTGGGTTTTCAGGGGATTTAAAATCATTTTACGTTGTAGGGCAGGCTTGAGCCTGTTCCTTTAGCTAAATGAGTGAGTTTAGGTTCCTTTAGTTGTAATGAGTGACTGATTTATATTCATCTAAATTGAATTTAAATCGAATAATTGGAGTGGGGCAGTGGTGGTACACCACTCGTTGTGCCCAGTCAGTGATTGGTGGTGAGATGAGATGCTGGGGTAGTACAATAGATTCTGAAGAATCTATTTAGGATTGTCTAAGTCATTCATCTTTTTATGTGTAGATTATCTTTAAGTATAACAAAATATATTGATTTCGGAATCGACCGCATTGCTACTTCCTCGTTGTGACCCTGCATAATGCGAAGAACAACGTTGATGACATGATAAACCAATCCGTTAAACGGAATTTGTTTTTATAAAGTTGATCAAGTGGCATGGAAATTCAGATGTGGGACTGCAGCTAAGTAGCTGGTGCCTCTACTATATATAATTACCCAACAGCCTATTCAGTTAAACAAAATTCTATGCAGTCAGTAAGCCCGATTGCAGGGATCAAGAGTATGAGTAGGAATGGCGATTTACGTAAAACAGGGATATACAGCGGAGGCGCCCTATTATAGCAAGACGCCATTTTATGATCTTTAGTAATAGAATCACTGTCCGCAACGAGACTTCACTGTAGATCGTCTATTTCTCAAGGTATCTTGCTATCATTACCTTCCACTGAAGTTGGGATAAGAATCACTAAAGCAGCTTGGCTAAGGCAGTCCCTTCTACGCGGATCTAGATACGAATAGTGGGGTCGCCATGTGGGATATTCATACCTTTGTGAGAGTTGAGTTGGAAAATTTAATTTGAACGTTCATGGATTTAAGGAATAATTCCCTTGGTACTTAAGTTTTTCTTTGAAAATAGTTAGAATTTTTACCTTCTGCAGGACACTCTTCTGCACACACTCAGGTTGACTCGAACTTGAATTGAATTTTGCAGAGGTCTTATGATCAATTCATTCAAATGAGGAGAAAATACACAAATAATAACGGCGAGTATCAGCAAAAACATTGGATCATATATTTACGCGATTGGTCGGCATTAAAATTGTCATCCTCTGATGCGAGTCCGAAACGACTTGAGCCAATAGCGTCTTGTCTTCATCCAAGTGTAAAAAAACCTAAATATAGTTTTCATATTCTTTTGTTACTCTAGGGTGATTCAAAGCTGCATCTACTTGATTTAAGTACGTATCGGGTTGATTTGAATGTATAATCAATTGTGAATAGAGTTTTGAAGAAATCAATGAACGCTCCGTGGCATGAATTAGCAATTTGTGAAAAGATTGATTCAAGAATGAGGTTGGTTGTTGTCCAAAACAATAGCGTTGTAAATTTGAATCACGAACGTACGCGTTCAATCAACACTTTTTTTTTCTCAGTGTATAAACTTTAAAAAAAGGTACACCATGGAGTTACAGCCATTCGGGTAAACTGCGAGCTGATAGACTGTCAGTATCAGTTCAGTTTTTCTGTGCAATTTTTGCTGATAAGAATAAAATTTAGTAGAATAGCTGAAATATAGTGTATGAGCTATAAGTTATCTTCCTTGATATGTTTCTGTGATATCGTTAGTTTCTGGCATGATAATTTTCTAATAACATATGAAGCAATTGGAAAAATGCAAAAATTGGAAAATATTTTCTCCATTTTAAATTTCTCGAAAGAAGTAGCTGAAAATTTACCTTATATGATTACCCGTTGCGTGATCACTCTCATCCTCATTAAGTTCTCGTTTAATAACGACAACTGGTGGTGCCTTGTGCTCGGTCTGACGACTGTGCGAGACCGACTGATGGGAGCCATGTCGCGTGGCCAAAACTAATCGCCTCGGTATTGACATTATAATTACAACATCGTCTAAACTCATGTGCGTCACGTCAACAAGATTTACTGCTAGAATCTCATCACCCACCTGCAATAACCCAACAATGAAAATAGTTAAATTAGTCAGCTGAGACAGGGCCAAAAGTAACTACAATTCAACCAGTGTAGATTCATTTTTTATTTTTATATCACAACTATTATCTAAATATTAAACAGCCTGAAGAAGTTATGGATCCACTTTTTTACCTTCAGACACCCGCTGCTGTATACGGCGGATTCCAATGCTATTCTTGATATAAATACACCATCATTGCGATCAACTCCGTTCCCTTCCCGAATATACAAACCCAGTGTTTGGCCTGGCCGCTTTATTATCTCAACAAAATGAACGGGATGTTTCGGATCCTATAACATAAAATACACCAAGATTTATTAATCTTTTTAGTCTCAACTGACACCATTCCGAAATTTTCGGTAATTACGTAGTAGATTAACTCTAGGAAAAGATGGACTAGTATATATAAGATAGGAATAAACAGCGGTAATCAAAGTAATTAATTAGCCTATGACAATTTCTAGGTATGCTGACAGGATTTTAAATCATCATCCACCGGCCAGGCAATCTTAAACGAGTCCCTTAGACGTCTTTCATACCTTAGCCCCAGCCCCGACTCCTTCTGTTTTTATTGACACGATGAGTAAGTGAATGATGTTTAATATAATTTGAATTGACCAGGTGCAGAAGGGGACGGGGAATATTGTATTTCAGTGAGCGATAGTTGGTGTCAGGGCGAGACGCCGATGCGCTTAATATTTACTAAATCATTATGTGCTTTGTATGTCGTTTGTCCTTAAGTATAACGACATCGGTTGCCTTTTACTGGGATTAAGGCTCATTAGTTAGCGTCAATCTACTAAGTGATTAGCAAATGAAGAATGGAAACAGGTATACACTTGTATTGCTAGGATTTTCCAATAATTCGTATGACATTCGGCAATTCAAAGGAACAGCCTCATAAGTGATTAAGAAATGTCTTGAATATGGGGTTCAAGAATCATAGAAAAAAAGACTTTAATAGGATTAATTAATAGGATTTACCTGCGACGTGATGAATTTTTTAGCAATCTCCATTGCCTGCCTACCCATTTGTCGTGGTTCGATGACACGCACCACCATTTCTCCACGTCTCTCAACGGTCTCAAGAGCAGCCGCTGTCGAGGCGTCATGGTCGTTCTCTACTGTTTCGATCTGCTTGAAGATCTCTGTACTTATTCCGCTGACCTGTAACATTCACATTATTTAATTTTGCATTCTGTACATTGTAAATATTCTCAACGAGTTTATGCATTTGATTATGAATAAAACAGTAGCAATAATAACGGATTTATCGGGATGTGTGAGAAATCTTTTCTGATGATTAGATTGATATGTGTATGGAGGAAACAAATAACTTTTTTTCTGGCTTTCTCCTTGGCTGTGAACATCTATGGCACCACTTGACAGCTTCGTCTAAGCCGCACCATTATCTCAGATAATAAGTTGGGAAACGAATTCTATCATTTTTGTACGCATCCTTCTTGTCTCTCTGTCTCTCTCTCTCTCCCATAAGAAAGTTGGGTAAATGTTTAGTATACTCGCGCCAATAAGGATTTGCCCTTGTCGCCGGCAAGAGGGACCATGGTATCTCGAAAAAATTGATGGAAATACTATTAAACATGGGCAGTGAAAGTAATTGACTCGCCTTTGACCATTTGTAAGTATTTTGAGGTGATTCAAAATTATTGTACACTGTATGGCATCCGCGAGTAAATCTCTTAGTTACCAGTCATGTCTTTAGCGCTTCTCCCTTCTCTGTTGACATGATGAGTGAGTGATTTATATTAATATAACTTGAAATTCAATCGAATATCTCTTGTTGCGCAGCGGTGGTAGACCACTTATTATGTTCAGTCAGTGATTGCTAGTGATGAGGCGATGTCTTAACATGTTATAATAAAAATTTAGGAATCTGTTTAAAATTGTCTAAATGATTCATCTCTTTGTGTGCCTATTGTTGGTGACTATAATGACATGTGTTCTGTTTGGGACCGACAATCTAAAAATATAGTAAAATAAGCTGCTGGAAGCCCACTAAATAATTACCGCAGGTTCTTCTGCAATAAAAGTTGAATGACTGGATTATCTCAATAGTGAGTGATATTATTTCAATATGAACATCTATCAACACCGATACCTTTCGGATTCTCTTACCGACCTCGCCCTTGATTTAACCTGATCATCCTTATAATAAGAATGATGCGTGCAAAAATAAAAACAATTACTCCGCAAATTTTATACCTTTCTGAAGTCCCCCTGGATGACCATAGGAGGTGGCTCTTTGGGACGCAACTGGTTGGTAGGTGCCTGACGGCCAGGGCTCGCACTTATGTCTGTTACTTCTCCCCGCCCCTCCTATAAACAAATAAAATGGAAACTCCAATTATATTCATTGCTTAAAAATTTTTATCAAAACCAATTTGTACAAAGCTATGTTTAAGGCATCGTAGCGCTCATATGATATTTACAGTGAAAATTAAAAAATTTACGACACACAAATTAAAATGTGAACATACGCTATGGCTTTTTTTGAAACAGAAACCACTGTAATTATAAAATAAATTATAAATAAATGGCTGTCTCAAAAATCTGATGAATTGAGCCATATTGATAGTAATGAATTTGAACAGGAAATCTTATCACATATTCTATTCGAAAAAATCAACTACTCGACAAGTTTTCGAATATTTCATTTCCAAAGATTGCATGTAATCAACCATAATATTTAATGTCGTATTTCAATATCTCTTCTTATGCAACATTAATCCAAAAATTCCCGAAAATTAATCATAATCTTATGGCAAACATGCATTTTATTGTATTTTAATAACGGTTGCAGGAACCAATGAACTCCGGCCAGATGCTTCATGAAACCATGCTCCAGATAACTATGGCATCGTGGTTAGCATACACATCGTTCTCCACTGGAATCATTACCACCACGCGGTGTTTAGAATTCACTACTCCTGATACATATCTTCATCAATGTACCCGTTATGCCCCAAAACTCTGAAGAAAGCCCCTTATCGTCATGGTAAGTTTGATTAAATTCGAAATGTTGTTCCCAAATAAAGATTCGGATAGGCATCAAACAAATAGTAAAGCCATTAGCAACGACTAATTTACCTTTTTGGAGAAGAAGCAACCTGATGTCCCCCGGTCACACATAATGCTTACTATCCTTCAACATTTTCTAATACCGCGGGAAGCCCTTTTGTAAGACAAAAAACACTGCGCTCACGCCTACCTACCCAACAGATTACTTTCCACTACAAACTCACACTAGATCTCCATATTTTTTGCTATCCTTCTTCAACATTAAGAACCGAAAAGCGTCTGCTAAGATGCCATGTACGTGTATAACCTCACACAATAACTCGAATACAGGTACTCACTATCGACCGGCAGGTGACGTCATCCTGTGCACCACGCTTTCTCTCTCTCCCGCTACAACCTACCAGCCATATCGTATACCTTCAACGACCCGGCAAACCGAACCCACTCACTCTACGTTAGCAAACACCCCCTCTACACCCTCTCCACCCTCTACACCCTCTCCACCCTCTACTCCCGCTACACCCACTACCTCAGTGTACCACCCCAACGAACCGACCCCTTCCTCACCACCAAGAACTCATCGATTGTATTATTAACCTCGTCACGAGTCGGTCATTCAACACAAATTCTTGAATGTCTCCGATTTAGGCAATTCATTAAAAAAAAATAGATATTTTTCCTAATGCATGATATAATATGTTGGTGTTGCGTATTTTTCTATTCCCTGCAATATTTGACATTCTGAAAAAAATAAAACGAATAAACCCGAGGTTTTACTGAAGATTGAAAAACCGTTGTACGTTTCGATATAACGAAGTTGTTTTTTTTCTTACAGAGAACAATATTTCATTAAAAATCGTTTGTAACTTTCGCTTCAACATTAATCATTCCAAAGCTAATGGTATATTTCTAGATATTCAATTAAATTTCCTTTGAGTATGAATTCATGTTTGATACAAGATATTTTGTGGCAAATATTAACAGACATTGGCAACCGTTAAGTTAGAAGAAAAATAATGACTCACGGTAAATTATTCGATAACCTTCTATCTATTATGATAATCTCAATTTTGAAAAAATAGAAAAAATGGAACGATCACGTTGTTGAGATTATGTTAGATGCTGTGCTTCGGAAAATTTTCTCGAGAATTATGAGATGAGTGGCAGAGGTACTGTGATATGGTATATGAGTAGTAATGGTAGTCGAAACGGCAGACTTTGAGGCTGAAATGTGTAGTTGTAGTATTGGCGTAGAGGCGAGCGTACGCACGCTCGTGACGAAATGCGGGGGAGGGCACGTGATAGGGGTGAGTGCGCATGAGTATACATAGAGGGGCGGGTGAGGCGACCCTCGAGGGCAAACTGTCATAGACCGGTTACAGAGTACACACATATGTCAATGGTTTTTCTTCTGCTAATAAATTTTTGTTAATATTGCAATATGGAAGGCTTAAACGTTCAAAAGTTGATTACTTTTTCATTTCGTAAAAACACGATGAATTTTCGAGAGTCGACTTAGCAATGTCAATTGATTTCAGCAAAAATTCAACTGGAAATACAATTAAAATATCGGAATGGATTATTCGATGCATGAATATCGAATTTAGTTGTTCAATGGTCTCACCGAAAATGCGCTCTGGTAGATTAAAAGTTAAAGTAAAGCAGGCGTAGAATCTAAGCCATACAACTGATTACAAATAATAACTATTTCTCCGCAGATCTTTTATTTTATCCTTTTTATTGTATTTCTAAATTTAATTAGGAGCAATCTGCTAAATGGACTTTCAGTACTGAAAATATGTTAATTTATTTTCCGATCAAAATTATGAAATCGTACTATATAATATTACCAGTCAAAAAATCAATATACTACCACTCGGAGGTGAACTATCGATATTGACTCTTAGTGAAGTGTCGGAATTGAAGGTCTCTGATAACATTGATTGCCCTAACGTTGGCCGATTATGGGGTAATTCACTATCGCGGTTTTGGTCCGATGTTAGTAGTTCAATATTACTCCCCTTGACATGTCCTTTTTATACATTTTTTTAAATTGAAATGCTCTATCATGGCTCAAGTATATTTTATACTTGATCCTAATATATTCGATTTTCAATGGTATAATATCGATGACAATTTGATTTTTTCACGATTCTAATATCGGTTACTATTAGAATACCACGAATAACACAGAAATGTTTATCTTCAATGAGTACACTGAACGTTGAATAAATGACTGATGCAATTAGAGCACTTCGAAGTTGAACACGATCATAATAAGACGGGACTCTCGAATTTTTCTTTCTACTGGAATCAAATCCCTGATATTGTGTTGAATGCCTGAAAAAGTTTCTTTTTAAGCATACGAAAAGCAAAGTAGAGTGCATAGTTAGAAGCATTAAAATATTGTTTTTTAAAGGAAAAAATCAATGGTGGTATCTTGAATCAAATAAATTAGAATGAAGTTTAAAATAACCATATTATTAGAATAGTATATACTTGATTCAAGTGTATTTTTTGCCGTCTGTGCTGAATCCATTCAAATACAATCCTATATACAAGTGTGATTGAATGATAGCCGCTAATAGACAGCCTGTCGGATAATTATTTCCATTTTTATGCATACGATGGAATGACTGTATACTTTTAAAATAAGAAAATAAAAAAAAATGAACATTTTACTAATTTTGTACGAATGCGTGGATATTTTTACTGGTCCATATAAAATGGTCAAGTTCAATTTAAAGTAGCTCCACAGTCTCATAGCATTTAGGGAAAGGGTAAAGGATATTAGATTTATTAATCGCAATTTTTTTCTCGATTTAATGACCGTTTTTGTTTTTCAAAAAATCAATGTTGAAAAATAAAAATTTAATCCAACGTCTTATCAAAAAATCGCTAATTTTGTCGTGAACAAAGATTAAAATCTGAATTTGTCACTAAAAATACGGAAAAAAATAACAAAAAATATTGATAATTATTTCATGACGATTTACAATTTTGTTTCGTTGATATTAACAATAATCAGTAGAAATTGACGAGAAACCGGAACTGAAAATCGACATGGCAGCGTCGCATCCATCAGCTGTCGTTTAGCGGGAGATTAGAGAGATTTAAAATTCTGGGTGTTTGATGGTTTTGACGCTGGCATGTTTTGACACGGTTTTCACGCTTGCATGTTGACAATTCTCATGTGGAGAGGTTATGGCGTTCAGTTTACTCACCTCCCACCTCTTACTTGAACGTACAGTGTTGCCACGAATATTTGTAACCTAGTTAATCTGATCACTTTTCATTCATTTTTTCATTTATAAACAACGAAAAATTTAATTATTTTTTTATGGATGACGTCTATGGATGACCTCTATAATTCTTATCAATAATTTAGAAATGAAGAAAAAAATTATTGGAGAATGTTTAATTTTTCTACACTCAACGACTTCAGGGGCAACTGTGGAGCTACTTTAAGTCTGACTGGATGTAGGATCAGGTGCTAACAACTTAATCAATACGCGATCAGAGATGCAACACCTTAAACTTAACCGGATTTGATCGAATAAAACGATCGTACGTCTCAACCTGAATCGGCAGGAGACATTGAATGATTAGGTTATGCATTAGTTTTGTTTCTAATTTTCCATTTATGCCAATACAATTGGTAGTAAGCTTCCGAATGAATCTATAGCTATTCCGACAACAATTTAAAAAAAAAGAAAAAAAGCAATATCTCTCCAACCTATCTTCCGATCCAGTCCATTTTCAATAGGAAACATTGTGCTCATAAGAGGAAAATTGTCAAATTTCATGTTGTCAGGTTGATATAATTCAGTACAACGAATTGTTTCGAGAAACATAAAAATTGAAATATGTCGAAAACTTTGGAGGAACACATATATATATTCTGACTAATCAACCCAGAGCGCATTGGGACAAACATTAAGAAAAAAAAATAAAAAGGAAATCGGTTCCATAGTTTTGAGATATTTCCAAAAAACATGCAAGAACAATCACCGACATTTCGAAAACTACTTCGCAGATTGGGCTAAAATTTAGCTCAGAGCAAGTCCATATTAGGACCGACGAATTGACGAAATTTCACATTTGGAATCAACTTATCAGTTTATTCTTCCTCTTTTCTGAAAGTTGACCAGCAATTGACCCTTTGCACACATAAATGGTACGCAAACTGCATATTTTTACGGTTCAGACTGTTTCACATCATTTTCAGTTAAAATTAGTAAAAAAAAAAACAAAAATGGCCGATTGCTCCTATCCAAAATACGCACCTTTTGTCTTAT